GTTTCTCCTCTACTGTGTTTTTTGTCCCTGCCACAAATGGCAGTGTGGAATTATCTTCTCTTTTCTTGCTTCTGAGTGCTCCATGATATCTTTGGCTCCTTCGGGCAGGAAAGAACAATTTCCCAGAGTTGCACTTATGTGTGATTCTGTGAGCCTGGTGTTTAGCCAAGACCTGCTCTCTCCCTGTCTTGTTTCCTGATGGCTTCCTTCAGGAACAGGAAGCACACCTATCGTAGGTGACATATCCTTCAGAGATAAGTTTTTATGGCAAGTAATTGTTACGATTATGCTTGCTGTGGATACCTTACAATTAAGGACCACAATCCTGTTCTCTCATCGGTAAAGTTTCAGGGTGGCTGGACTTCCATACAGACTGATTGAACTGCCTCTGACTTCTTTCTTTCACACTTCTTTCTTTCTTGTTTTTTCACTCTTCTTTCTTTCTTTATGAGTCAAAGTCCTAAGAACCCCTGGTAGCTGCTCAGGACCAAGATGCTGTCAGGTGTCTATCATGGCTTCTCAAGATACTCTCCTAATCCGTCAGGGAGAGAGGCTGTATTTGGCCACAACAGGAACTCCATCACTTTACTATTCAGAGTGTACCTTCCTTTGAATTACTGAATAATTAAAACTTTTCATTTCACCTGTATATTAATTAGCTGTCTGTTTTCAAAAGCTTTAAATGACACCAGCTCAGGCATCCTGTGTTCCCTGGCAGATCCCTGAGAGAGTGTATGTCAAAAAAATACATTTGCTTTGGAGCCTCATTGATTTTTCTGACATTTTTTAAAAATGAAATTTTCATCTTTTCAGGGAATTTGAAATGCTAAAAGCAGATGCTCAGAGACACACTATTGCACTTAAAATTTTAAAAGGCATTTCAAAGCTCCTGAGAGGCAAATCTGGCTTTTGGAGTGGATTCTTACTTTTCATAAAACATGTATCCAGTCCCGGAACACAGTAAAAAAAATGTGTATAAAAAATACAAAGTCAAATATGAAATCATGAACATAATCAATTCCCTTTCAATCTGCATTCTTGCTCTCTGTGTGAGACCCTGGGTTACACTCCTAGCATTGCACCACTCTCTGTGGTCTTGACTAACTCAGAATGAAAATTTCTCTGGGGCTTATCTCTACCTCCCTGAGACTTCACAAAAAGCCCTTGATT